GGCACTATGTCTCTCGGCTGGCCTGGGAACGCCTCGGTATTCCCCCGGAGGAGCTGGACGAAGTGTCTGGAGAGAGCAGCTTAGACGGCTGCCCCGCGACCTGGTTCCGGATAAGCGGAGGAAAATGGATGGATGGATACTCTGATCACGTTTGTTTGATCACACGCATTTGTTTTATAACCCTAATCATATAATGACAATTCTACATGAGCACACATGAGCATATTTTTACAATACATTCTGTATCTGGAATACATTAGACGATAACAGCACAGTATATACACTGCATAATACAGAAAGAACTGGTGCTGTGCATATTTATTTAACTTCATGAAAGTGTGTGTGAATGAGTGAGCCTAAGACACAGTCACAGAGATGCTGACCTGTGTGACGGGAACGTAGAGAGGCTCTGTAGAGTTGAGTAGAGTCATATTGTTGTAGGGGTGCAGCCGGCCCTCAGCTTTATCTTTGCTGCCATCCCTTTCTCCATCACGCTGTGGAGCCTCTATCTCCCCCTGGTCACTCAGGCACTCAAAGAACTCATCCTCACTGTCACTCAAGGAGTCCCAGGATTTCCCCTCCTTTGTTGTGACAGATGCAGGTGCTGCAGACTCTGATATAGGGCGGCTGTTCTGATAGCCACTGGACACCTTGCATTCTCTCTCTTTGCTTCCCTCCAGCACCTTGCGAGCTTCATCTCTGGCCCTCTTCCTCTCGATGCAACAGTTCATCATCTATGTGGGAACAACAGCCCTTTTCAGACAGTGAGTATTTAACACTGACATCTTCTTCTCTTTGTTAAAGGGATGGACTGCTGTCATCCATGATCCTTTTTGCTTTATTCAGCCATTATTAAAAAAGCAACTTGAAATGCTTAAAAAACAGTCATAAGTTAAAAAGATTAACAGTATGAACAAAAAAGAATTGGGGAATTGTTCTATGTATTTTGTAATGTCTGAAAGTGCACAAACATAAAACTGAATTTCTCTTTGCTTTACAGTATGTGAGGAAAACCTTGGCCTAAACTATGACCGTTTTTATCCTAGTGCCATGTCTCCCCACACTGAGAGCAGCCATAGCAACTGATTTATTTGTCTTGTGTATTTTGAAATCATATGATCCGTTCTCATGGGTCAACCACACACAGTGTGCGTTTTATATAAATGGGTACCTGGAGTTTCTGATGCAAAAGACAACAGCGAAGATCAGGAGGTCCACCAACCAGTCTGCAAATTAGGAAGCACATGTAGAAGATTAAACAAATGTTGATGACTGTATTAATAAACTGAGCAACGAGTTCAACTAGTGCAGGTCTCCAAAAATAATTACCTTGCATATGGTTTGTATTATGAATGTATTTACACTTGGATTTCTGTATTTTTGCCATCTCTGTATAAATATTCATGATAGGAGGTGAGGTAATGTATAATCAAACTCTACATACCAGGACATTCATACAGACATACATACATACATACATACATACATACATACATGCATAAATACTTTTTGTCTTTTGCATTAGGCCAAGGCAAAAGGCGCTTTTGTCTGTGTTTTTGAGATGCAGATCCAACAGTGTTTAACCATATACTGTATATGGTGGTACACCTATAGCCCAGCCCAGGCCTGGTTTCACACACATTTCAGACTGGTGTTAATAATAGTGCTTTTAGATTAGTCTAATGCAAGTTAGACAGTTTCACTGAAAAGAAAGAGTGATTTATTTAAAAGCAGGGGTGCCCACACTTTTTCGCCTTGCGAGCTACTTTTCAAATGACCAAGTCAAAATGATCGACTGACACGCGTGCACGCGCACACATACAAAATATATATACAACTGGAGGGGGTCTACAGTGTCCGGGACCATGTGGTTGGCATGTGTGAGGACCAGTTTTTCTAAGCACTTCATGGTGACTGATGTGAGTGCCACTGGCCTGAAGTCATTCAGAGTGGATGTATCTGATGTCTTACGGACCGGTATGATAATGGATTTTTTTGAAAATGCGAGGGACTACTGCTTGGGTTAAAGACAGGTTGAAGATGTCTGTATACACACTAGCTAGTTGATCCCCACAGGCTCTCAACACTCTAGGGGGGGACACTGCGGTCCCACCGCCTTATGGGGGTTTACCTGTTTCAGGGCCTTCAGAACCTGTGTGTGCGTTACCTGAAAAGCATCCTGGGGGGCTGTGTTTGTTGATTTGTTCCTGTAGTTTGTGACTGCCGGAATCCACCCTGCTACATACTGTGCGTGTTGTTATTCATATAGTACAGGGGTTCCCACACTTTTTCGCCTTGTGAGCTACTTTTCAAATGACCAAGTCAAAATGATCAACCTACATGTGTGCGCACGCACACACACAAAATATATGTACAGTATGAGCATCGTAGTTTTTATGAACAGTCTGAAAGTGCCGCTCCACATTTCCCTTCTTCAGAATAGTGATGGTCATTTTATACCCTTTAGTAGAAATTAATTCGAAGGCTGACAAGGTAGTTCGCTCACTGGAGTTTTGCAGTAGCTCGTGCGGTTGACTGTGCATGTTTGGTGACTCATGTGTCAGAAAAGACAAGATCTCAGACTGGCTGCCCTGCATGTCAATCAAGTAGCAAATGCCATAGGGAGGATGATTGATAGGCTATATATGAATGACACGGGATCTATAGTTTTGGATTTTGTTTTCCCTTAATAATAAAAACCTTCATTTAAAAACTGCATGATGTGTTTACTTGTGTTATCTTTGACTAATATATAAATTTGTTTGACGATCTGAAACATTACAGTGTGACAAACATGCAAAAAGATAAGAAATCAGTAAGGGGGCAAACACTTTTTCACACCACTGTACATCTAATTTATTTTTGAATGGCACACAATCTACCAACACTACCTTTGCAATCGACCGGCCGATCGCAATTGACGTATTGGGCAACCCTGGCCTAAAAAGTGAGCCACCCTAGCCCCAGGCTAACTTAGAACTAAGGCCTTGATGTTTCTGCTGAGTGAAGGAGATGAGCAGTGTGATGTGGTTGTTCAGTCAGCCATGTATTTCAGTTTGAAAAAAATCTTAGTTTCCCCAAATTCATAGCAAATTGGTCTTACATAAGATAGCCAAGAACTAATGAGCTTTGAGCAACAGATACATTTTGGCATCTATCTAAACATCTAAGGTTAATAAGCCTTAGTAAAAGAGTTTCTGTAAAACCATTCCCAAGTGTTTACTGTACCCACCCGTAGATGAGGTAGCTGTTTTCCCAGCGGTAGCGCAATTCTAGGACAAACTCCTGCCAGAGGTGGGCAACAGCCCGCAGCCCACCATGGGTGTAGTTCACCAGACAGATGCATAGTGCCAGGCGGTAAGTCAGACTGTCACTTGGTGCTGACTTCAGCTGGAGGAAAAGGTTTTGAACACAGGGACAGAACAGGGAGACCAACAGAGAAACAGTACATCAGCCAATGGAAACTTTTTTTTTTCCAGAACAAAAAAGCTCTTTTCTAAACTGTTTTTGGTGCAGCTGAATTATGATTAAAACTGTGCGTCTGCAAAGGTCATTATATTGATTTAAAAAGTACTTGTTTGCCATTTAACTGCTGCATTTTGTAAAGTGCTATTTTCCTTTGTTTACTATTTACAATCTACATTAGTTGTATAAAAGTACTTTTCTTATTCTGCTGCCCCTAAGTGTATGCTACATGCACCATTTCTTATTCACAACATGCATTCTTGACACCAGAAAAAACTGACTTGACTGAAACCTTAGATGTCAGCTGGATGGCACAGTGTGTAAGTGGCAAAAGGGCAAACATACATAGTCGGAGGTCTTATCTTGCTCGACTTTCCCACAGGTGTTTGCCTGTGTTGTTTTATTCTTGCTATTCTCTGATGACTTCTCCACAGCAGCATCTGGGAAGAGATACTGGGCCATAAAAGAAAAAAAAATGCATTTCAATTATACACTTACATAAAGCCAATAATAATAAACAATAATAATAAAAACTGTTGGAAAGATAACAAAATCACTAAATCATCACTGTCACCATGTACACACACTCCACTCTGGCACAACCCTGATTTTCAACTGCATAACAACCCCATCCACTTTCAATCATGGTAACACAAAGGAATCACTCACCTTCATCACCTATTTGAAAACAACCAGTTCATATCATTCAGTGCACTGGTCCACAAATACAGCGTTGGGAGAGGACAGCTTCTTCAGTTCTAACAGCTAAAATTCAGAACTAAGTCAAAGATCAAATACAACCAATAGCCCACTGGGCCCTTCCAAGTTAACCGAAGAGATCATGAAAATTACAAACTCTAAGAAAATTATATCCAAACTTTATAAACTCATATCAAATACAGAGACAACAACAATAGTACCAAAAACCAAATGGGAACATGATTTTGCTCTCTCCTCCAGCCCCGACTTCTGGAGGACAATCTGTAACAACATCTTCTGTACGACCAGTCATACAAATTTACAGCTTATACAATATAAGACTATTCACAGGACTAGCATCACACAAGGTGAAATGTTTAAAATAGGCTTAACTGACACAGATACTTGTTCACAATGCACTTTGGGTAGCACTGATGATTATCCACGCTACTTCTCAACCTGTTTACTCCCTCTGGGTAACGAGAAACTCTGTCCTCTGGGTGACAGAAACTCTCCACCATCTTGAGCTGTACAATCCCTCCATCTCCATTACTCTGCCTGCTTGGTAATATCACAGCAATCGACCAATATAGAATCCCACTCCTCATTTCTCTAACTGACGCCAAGAAAACAATCTTTCTAAACTGGAAAACAAAAAACAAACAAAAATAAATAAATCACTACACATCAATCACTGGACCAACCTTTTAACAGAATACATCACAAGAAAATAACATCGACCCAATAAGAGTAATTTATAAGCTTTTATTGACATTTGGAACCCTTTCTTATCCAAAACCAAACACCTGAGCCCAAGGCCATGCACATTCCCACAAACCCATTGAAATACAACAAGCTGCTTTTATTATTATTAGTAGTAGTATTTAAACAATCAAAATAAATCATGATAAACAATAAAACAGAGGGAAAGTCTAACTTAACCATACAATAAGGATGCTACTGTCCTGGCCAACCTCAACTCACTGAGCCACTCTGGGGCCTCCCAGCAGTGGCCTCATCTTGTTCCAGTGCTGGTGGTTCAGGAAGGAAACATTACCAGTACGCTCCCTGTTTTTATTAATTATTTGCTGGTTTAGTCTCAAATATGCTGGCTGTCCACAAGGTACCACTGTGTGAGTGCACACTAGAATTTCTGTTCATTTTTAGATTTGCATGTATTTTCAGGTACCACTTATTTTGATTTCCCTTATCAAAGAATGTTTCACCAATAGTTTCCATATTCATGTTTGCTTTTGGTAAAAATAATGCCCATAGAAAACAGTCAGCACGAGTATCCCTACCAGAAGGACAGAACTGAGTAAGTCAGAGTTGAGTGGTGACTCATCAATGCGTCTGTGGCGTCGGATGTGCTTTCGGGCGCTGTGCACCATATTGGAAACGGACAGTTTGGAGATGGGCACTGTTGTTGCTGGCTCTGTAAGCTTGGACAAAGCAGAGCTGATGTCACTATTTTCTGCAGAGAAAAAAAATCAGCAGCTATTCAGAACAACATGATCTTGTAATATTTAAGAATGTCTAAATTATGTATTTGTATATTGTATCTCTTAGGGAACATAAGCACTTACGAGTTGTGTAAAAGAGTAATGGCAGGATCTATGCAAACATTAAACAAATACCACTAAAAGAGGTCTTTGGTGTGTTTATTGATTTTATGAGAAGAAACAGTAACCTGACCTTTGCCCTCTTCTTCAGCCAGCCCTCTTCCCAGAATCTCTTCTGTAGACTCCTTCCTATAGCAGAGCTTAAAAAACTCGGTCAGAAAGTCACCTGCATAAACAGATAAGAACAGGTCAACTATACTATTTTATTTATCATGCATTTTACTCTTAGGATTGCACTGTGACAAATGGTGAATTGTTTTGTCATGGAATGTTAATGAATGTGTTTCTAAATAATCAGCATCTGGGCTGAGATAAATTCAATCATCCCCAGTGTACTTAAGGATAATCACCTTTATTTGGCCGAGTATGTTACACACACAAGGAATTTGTTTCCGGTACAGAACCGAGGCAGCCATCTGCGGCGCCAACTCAACCGATGGCGCTAACCATCGGGGGCAACGGGGGGGTTCAGTGTCTTGCCCAAGGACACTTCCGCATGTGGTCTACAGACACTGAGATTTGAACCTCCAACCCTCCAGTTGGGAGACAACTGCTCTACCCACTGAGCCACAGTCGGTGTGGAATATAACTGCAACAGCTTCAGTAAAGAAACACTTGAAATATTCTTGAAGTTGATTTGTACTGAAAACAAGTGAAACAACATCATCTAACTGTCTTTGTTTTGTATTTTTCACAGGTGCAGAAATTATGTTTGAAAATGCCCAGTGGACACCAAGGGCTTCTTCTTACCAAGCAAACACTGAGGGTTTTCAGCTGTCCTGACTCGGACTGACCAGTGAGGAGCTTGGAGAGGTTCAAGATCACTGCCGGATCACAGGAAGAGAGCATACATGGTTAAATCACATAGGCTGTTGCTGGTCTGCATTTCTGTCAAGAGCATGGCCCACAGGTTCAATCTACTACAGGCAGATGGTTTACACAGAGCCAGAAGGATAGTATGACATATTATTTGGACTTGTAGTTAAAGCAAACTTCTAGGAAACAATGTGAAACCTTGGAAAGAACAGCATGAAAGCAGCATGTTATTGCGGGCAGAGTGGGAGACGGTCGCTCTCACCTGTAGACATCATTATCCACAACTATGCCTTCTGTCAGGTGAGGCCAAGTGGTTGCAAGGTGAAGTTCACTACAACAGCCAAAAACAGACAAAACAAGTATGTTTGTTTTGCACCTGGAATAAAAGATTAATTGTGTAACAATGAATTCTTTTTTTTTTCTTTGCAGGAGTGGATTATTACATGTAGCCGCATCAAAAGGGAAATGCATAAGCATGCAGCTCCCACCCCCTACAGGATCTACAGGATGCATCAAATGAATTGTTTCTTACAGTTGATAAAGTTCTCTCATCTACTGAACACACAATGATGAAAGAAAAATTGTTTCTATTTTATTGCAAGTTTTTGTAATGTACTGTCATCAAAGTTAACAAATATACCTGATTGGCTCCTCACAGGCTCCAAAAGGAAGCTTTCCAAACTCCACCGCTCCCACCTCTCCTCCAAGGAGCGAGTCAAGGTCTACCAGAAAGCCAGAAAATACATTGATAGAAAAAAAGATACAGCTGCACTGTTCAGCAGTAAATCTGTTCAGTGTATAACAAGCACCACCAGGGAGGCCAATGCATGTCAGAAGGAGTGAGTAAGCAAGTAAGTAAGTAAATTTTATTTATATACCACCTTTCACAGACAAGGTCACAAAGTGCTTTACAAAGTCAAAAGATAAAAAGAGATAAATAATATACATAAGCCTAAAAGTACTCACAAAGCACAACACAATTTATAAAATGAATAAACTCAATCAATTAAAAAACTGTCTAAATAAATGTGACTTCAGCTGTTTTTTAAAATCATCAATAGATTCAGTCATACGTAGAGTCAAGGGTAGGGCATTCCACAGTCTTGGAGCTACGACCTGAAAAGACAGGTCCCCCCGAGATTTAAAACGAGTTTTGGGGACCACCAAAAGAGTTTGGCTTACAGAATGAAGAGTACGTTTGGGGGAGTATGGGGTCAGCAGATCGATAATGTACTGAGGCACCTGCCCATGTAGTGCTCTAAATGTCAGCACTAAGATTTTAAAATCGATTCTAGCTTTGACTGGTAACCAATGGAG